AAGCTATATGTGGAAGGAAACTGTGACCGAGGACAAGCTGATGGCATAAGATGTAAGTACAACTCCTCCGGTTTCATATGCAAAAAAAATTATTGCACTAGCTCACGTGGTTGCAGAGCTACCGGGATTTAAAAATAGTTACGCAAAACGGAGCGTGCAGGTCTGACCGGCTTTAAAGGGTTAAACACCAACTTCCCATAATCCAGCAGCGGTTTGGTGACAATCACTGGATCTTCCAGCGTGATGTAGCACCATGACACTAAGCAAAAGTTATAACTGGCTTTCAGATAATCAAATTAACATCTTAAACCAGAAGACTGCACAGATTTTACAGCTTTTGGTCAAACTGTAGGTGAAAAACCTCTAGAAAAAACAATGGTTGCTTCCAGGAAATCTGTTTACCCTCGCTGATGACGGCTTGCATGCTGGAGGGGTTTTATTGTTCGTTTTTTAAGTTCAACACAACAATGATATGTCTGTCTTTTAATGGAGATTGCTTTTTGACTTCTCTGACTTTTTAAACTTTGGAATTATTTAAAGTCAGACACATCTACCCCAAAGTAAAACGAATTAAACAACCTTGGGGGAACCCAAAAAAACCCCAAAAAACCGGCAAGGGAAAAAACGTTAATTTCCGGGTTGCCTTGGTCCTTACCTGTAGCTTTTTAATCTCTTTCTTGAGGTCTGCTTCATATTTCTCCTTCTGGTTTGTGTTGGCTGCATTGTGAAGCTGCAAAAAAAAAAAAGAGAGAGAGAGACAGAGACAAAGGGTCAAAGCTGAAGCGCAGCAGTGCACGCCTTCATTTTCAAAATGCACCATACTAAAAATCATCTAATCTGTTGAAAGCTTTGCAGCCTGCAAATAAAGCATGTGATCATACTCCTGAAATCCCAATTATCCTGTTTAATTAGATTAGTGCTACTAACTGATTACATTTGTTTCAGTAGCAAAAACAACATGATTAAGTAGGAAAAAACACATAAATCTAAGACCTAAATGGGTAATAAAGTGAGACATAAAACTAACAAAAGTCGTCCAAACAAACAGGAGTATTTATGAAGAACACGAGCTTCTGGAAGGTCATAAGGAAACGCAGCAACTGCCAACAGCACAATAAAAAGTGGATGTAATGAAGGGAAAAAAGGCAACTGGGATCTTTGTTAATGCGCTTTGTGCCTCTTTATTAGCAAAGCCGACGTTCACTGTGGGCGCTGCTGTGCGCTCTGGGCAAAGCGTTGTTTTAATAACAGCTGTATTCACTTAGTTTATTATAAGTATCGTGAGTATTGGACATCCTGTTGTGGTAACGGCAGCATTTATTAACTACTAAGGTTAATAAATGCAGGAGTCTGATGAAACTAATGCAGCACAGAAACATTAGCAACAAATAGCCTGAGAGGGAGAAAGTGT